ACAGTCGTCGTACTGACGAGGTCCAACTGTGGTAATGGTAAGAAATGTATACGACTTAATGAACCGAAACATTTCTTACCTAATTTATTACCTCTTTTTACATCTTTCCTCTTTTTGACTCTTTTTTATCATCCATTTCTACATTTTCTAACAAAATTTTCACTAAACCTTAAACATGATTGCTGAAAAGTTACTGAAGCAAGGATTGGCCGAAACGGAGAAAGAACAATGATGCGAAGTGTATTTTGGGTGTTTTTTTCTTGGTAGTGTCAGCAGCCGATGAGCAGTGCAGGATTTCATGAAGTGGGAGAAATTAAAGATCGATGAGCAGGGCATATTAGTCGCCTTGTTGAGATTTGGTGGACGTTGAATGTTGATGAATATTGCCCATGAAGAATCAAATGGCTATTTTTGGCATTTCCTGACGATGATGCAAGACACATAACGGGAGAGGGGTGGAAGGAGGGGGAGGGGGAGGGGTGTGCACCTCAGAACTGAAAGGTCTGTCGGAGCTATGCTTAACGTTTATGAATGTACCAGTGGCAACAGTAATGGTTCAGTAAACCAGGCGATCTTGGTAATAATAACAGTTAAAAGGTGGGTTTGGTACCACGCGTGACAGTGTCGATGGACCGAAGGAACCAAATGGGTACTGGGTCAATGAGCAACGAAAGAGGATTTATTACGCGAGATAATAATGAAGCACAGAGTGAAGAACTAACGAATCACCAACAGTGGCTGGAATAGTTCACTTGATGTAGGGCACTCAGCCAGTGAGAGGAAATGGCGATGCGCTCGGACCTCGAACCATCAGATCTTCGAGCTTATATACAGATATTCCTGCAATAGATATCAGGCATTACAATCTCCGGGCCCAAGGTCCCGGACTGAGTACCATAGGAGCCAGGGATGGTTTTGGATCGTCGTAGATGCAATTTACAGTGGAAAGTCGGCGGGGAAAAAGGTGGTTTGGGAATGGAGAGTCAGATTCTTGTCGGAGATCCGATCTCCAATGGGAACGTCGCTTCCCAACATTCGACTGGAATTTCATCGAAGGATAATTCAAGTTTTTATTTTATTTTTGTGCTTTATCATTTTGGTTGGGGGTAGGGAGGCAAGGCGAGGACATCGCCTTTACATAATGGTAGTAATACTTGGATCAGCTGTATTTTATATTATAGACCGGTCCTGCGAATGATGGTACGAGTAGGTTTCCAGAAAATTTTGGCCAGCTGACAATCTTTTTTCATTTTCTGCAATGCCTCTGATTTTTTGGAGACTATGCAGACTGTGCAGTATTTGTCGGTCCAGAGCATTTTTACCTATTAAAATACTGCAGAGCATCTTGCGAACGGTGATGATTCGATTGCGGAGCAGTGGTTGAGCAACATAATGCCAAGTTCAAGCCAGATACACGAGGCTGTTCGTCGAGCCACTATTCGAAGGACTTTTATGCCAGTGCTCATGGGTAGCGCATTGAAGAATAAAGGCGTTCAAGCACTGCTGGATGCCATTGTTCATTATCTACCGAATCCATCCGAAGTTCAAAATAGGGCGACAATCGTCAACAAATCGTAACTGCTAATTCTGTCATTTTATTTTGAACTGTTGTCAAACAGCAGTACAAATATTTTTAAAATAACTCGCCGAGAAATACCAATTTTTTTCATTTTTGGAATATAAAGATGCTAGTGCGGTCGTCCAAATGCGAAGAAAGTTTATGAATGCCGAGAAAAGCAACGTGTTCTGACTAAATAAATAGCAACGCGCACCAGACTAACCGGTGCGATCATACGTTTTGTGCAATTCAGCCCATCG